TAAAAATTGTCAAAGTTGAAATTTATAATAAAAACATAGTAAGTGGACTTAAACTTTTGGAAGCAACTGTATATATAATATTTTAAAAAATTTCAATTATATTGAACTATAAAAAATATGATAGAATTAATTCAAATTTTTAATAATATTTATAAAAAAAAATTAAAGAAAACAAAAAAAAACTATATATAATAGTTCAAGTTATGACTAAAACCTTAATACAATTAGTTTAAATCTACTTAAAAAAGTAAAAATTTTAATGTGCTTTATTAAATTTATTATGAAATTATTTAGAAATAGAGAATTTAAAATAATATATGAAAAGATCTATAGATCTATAACACAGTAATAATACTTCCAGGTCATAATCACAAGATCCAGAGTTTAATATTACATAAGGATCAAATAAAAATAAGTTATTGGTGGTACAAAGGTTGCATCTATTTTATGATACCGATTAGGTATCCTAGTATAACCATAAAATTAAGAGATCATCTACTTATCATACCTATAACAAGACAAAAACTAGTTTCGATAAGTCAAGGTCAAATAATACAATATCCTTAATATACAACTATTCTCTTTCGAATAGTCAAGTTGGGTAATTAAAATGTTCTGAAATTTCAAGAAAAAACAGAACAGTTCTTACAAAAGATAAAGATGTATTGATAAATAAGGTAAAAAAACAAGATAAATCTTTTAGAAAAATTATGTACTAATAGGAATTATAAAGATCTTATATAAAAATCTCTAACATCAGTAGTACTAGACATCTTAGGCAAGTTTTTAACATATTAGCCTTTTCTATATAGGGATAGCAATAAGTTATCTGGTGAACTATAGTTCTAAAAAGTATTGTTTTGTTGAATGAGGTTCTATAAGTAAAAGGTATTCATTAAATTGGCAGGTTAAATGCACCTTCCCGATCTTTCTGACTTTGTTAAGAATTAAGAAAAAATCCTATACTAGATGGTTACATAGTTCCTCTATCTGGGTTAGGTGAAACATAAATAGATGCCCCTTGTACTATTCACTAATCTGTAAATATTTAGACAGTATAGGTAATTACTTATCCGGATTGTCCCTAAGATCTATCTTAGTAACTAGTAAAGGTTTCGAGACTGGTGCAGGAATGAGCTAGTGAGTTTAAAAAAAAAAAATAATCTTATTGAAAAAATAATAGCAAAGAAAAAAATTTTTTTTTATTTTATCCTTGTTATAAAGAATTTTTTATAATCTATACTATGTACGATTCAGAATAATAAAATAAAGATATATGAAATAACCGTTATATGATATATAGAACTAAGAAAATACAACCAATCTTTATAAAACTAATGGCTTCCAATCAATTGTAACAAATTAATTTTAGTTACTAGAATGATAAAAATTTCTAACTTGTCGGTATTTCTATTTTAAGGAATTAGTATATCAAGGTCTTATTTGGGCTCGCCATAATTAAAAAAAAACCAACATTGTTTCAAGACAAGTGCTCTTGCATGTTTGTCAATAGTATCTATAAACTTGTCTTTGATGATTTGTTTTTTTTTATTTTAAAATTGACCAATTTTGGCTGAGTAATTTCCAGTTTTTTAATATTACCCTGTATGCTTCATATTATTATTTTTATTTTTATTTTCGAATGGTATGCCGATATTTTTTGATTTTAAGATTGAAAAAAATAAAGGGAATAATAAAAAAGAAATTCCTCACAATATACAGTATCAATCCGAAATACAAGAACAATAGCAAATAATTAAGAAATTTATTTACATCTCGATTTAATAATTCTTCTGTAGAGAATGTTCAGAATTAAAAAGGAAAAAAAGAAATACCGTAAATACCATATTAAAGACGAAAGATAGATCGACAAAACATTGCTATTTTGTTGTATATGATAATTGTTTTTTAAAAAGGGGACACGATTGCTGTACATACTACATATCTTATTAATTTATGATTTGAGCAATGATAACAATATTCGATTATAAATATACAGTACATAAAATCTTATCTTTATTTGCTCTTCAAAAAAATTAGGAAAATCAATTGATTACTCATCAGTTACGCATCCTTCTGTTGCTGACTTTACATTTTTAATATACTTATACAAGGTTCCTCTGGTTGCCTTATATGGTGGAGCTTTCCATTCTTCTCGTCTCTTTGAAAATTCATGTTCACTAATGTCCACGTCGATCGATTTTTTTTCCGCATCGATCACTATTTTATCACCATCTCTTACCAAAGCAATTGGTCCTCCAATTTGTGCTTCGGGTGTTACATGTCCAATGATGAAGCCCTGTAATGATATAAATGAGATGCGAGAGTTCATGAAAGTGAACACGATAATAATGAAAAGTCGATTACATGACTGCCACCGGAGAATCTTCCATCGGTTAGCAAGGCAACATCTTTTCCAAGTCCTGCCCCCATTATCGCACTTGTGGGAGTCACTAAAAATCATTTAATCGCATTGAGGTTCACATCGCTCCTTTCTCATCTAATCCGCAACTCAAAATAATTTAAAATAACACTTACACATTTCAGGCATTCCCGGTCCACCTTGAGGTCCTTCGTAGCGAATAATAATCACTTGTCCCTTGATGATCTCCCCACGTTCAAATGCCTTTAACATCTCTTGCTCTCCGTCAAAAACCTTTGCCACACCTGAAAATACCAACCCCTCTTTTCCTGTGATTTTTGCAACTGATCCTTCGGGTGCAAGGTTTCCCCTCAATATTTGAATGTGCCCGGTGGGTTTAATAGGTTTTAAGAGCGGATAAATAATGTCCTGGTTGTCAAATGTTAAAACCGGAACAGATTCCAGGTTTTCAGCAAGGGATTTTCCTGTTACCGTCAAGGTATCTCCGTGGATTAAATCATTTTCTAGGAGATATTTTAAGACCGCTTTTAAAAAAAAGGAATCCATGTCGGATGTTAGTATATTTATCATGTGTAATGTTGTTGCTTGGAAAAGACAGAACTTACCTGGTATGCCACCAATATTATGCAAATCCTCCATGACATATTTGCCACTTAACGATAAGATTAAAAAAAAAAAAAAGTATTATAACCAAAAACTTACGATGAGTGATAGGTAGGAAAACTTCAATCCTACCTAGGTTTTAGATTTGCCAAGAAAGGTGTCCTATCGCTAACTTTCTGAAAATCGTCCAACGATAATGATACACCCACGGATCTCGCAATCGCGATCAGGTGCAACACGGCGTTTGTCGATCCACCTAGTATCATAGTGACAACCATCGCATTCTCGAAAGCTTTACGAGTCATAATGTCGGATGGTTTGATGTCTCTCTCAAGTAGGTTGCGTATAGCGTAGCCAGCGTTGAAACATTCCTCTAATTTGGCCGGGTCTTCAGCGGGTGTTGATGAACTGTATGGTAGTGTCATTCCCATTACTTCAATCGCCGAGGCCACTATTAAGATAAGATTAGATAACGAATTCATGCATCTCCTCGATTTTTCATCACCGACTTACTTGTATTAGCAGTATACATCCCACCGCAAGCCCCGGCGCCAGGGCATGCATGTCTTATAATATCCATTCTTTGTTCTTCGTTGATAGATCCAGCAACATATGAGCCGTAAGACTGAAATGCCGAAATGATATCTAAAGGGCCTTGACCGCATTGAGATTTTCCGGCACGAATTGTTCCACCGTAAACCATGATAGACGGACGATTGAAACGCCCCATTGCGATCAAACAGCCCGGCATGTTTTTATCGCAACCCGGGAGAGAGATATTAGCATCATACCATTGTCCATCCATAACCTTTTTTTAAAATAGGAATTACGTTTCGAAAATGGTTTTGAAAAAAAGTGCTATGCACGAATATTTGTTCGACTAAAGAAAAGGCGTATTTGCGAACCGTCTCGATGGAATCCGCGATCAAATCTCTACTCTGGAGAGAAAAACTCATCCCTCTTGTACCCATACTAATGGCATCGCTCACGCCCACGGTGTTGAACCTGTATCCAACCATTCCAGCCTTTATCACGCCCTCCTTGACTTTTGCTGACAAATCTAGAAGGTGCATATTGCATGGATTACCTTCATACCATCTTTTGATGCAAATAAATGAACGAATTTTAATATTGGAAGGTTTAAAATAAGTAATATGCACAGCTGTAAACATTCTAAATCCAGTAGACGTATCCATGATGAACCTAATTCATACACACTCGATATCCCAACTTGAGCTTTATTCATATCTTCCGGCTTCAAGCCCGTCCCGTACACTAAATGTAAATAATCGTAAAAACAAACAAAAAAGAATTGAATTATAAAAAGAATTTGATTTCGATTTAGCTTAGGAAAAGTGGCAATGTAATACTTACGCATGGCCTGAGAACCACCATGAGATTTAGGTTGGGTGATATGTTTACTGTATTTGTTTATTTCAACATTGGTACTATATCGTTTGTGTTGTGCCGCAACTGCTCTAGTAATATTATGTCTGTTTTCCAAGAAATAAAGATAGCAAGGAATATTTTGGATTTGATTTTTGAAGACCTTGCTGAAAAGTTAATAGAAACATATGGCATGCATGTATCACGCACATTTGAACTTGACCGACGAGTTGACCAGCCGCGTTAGTGCCTTTTCTCGCAAAGTTAGACATGATTATTGTCTGAAAGTTTGAAAAAAAAAATGAGTCCTGTCGATGTGATGATTACATTTCTATAGTGTTGAATTCACGGGATTTGATAAAGTCAAAATCTTACAAACTCTGAGCGGGAAAAAAATACACGTTAAACTTCGATAAGATGTCAATTATCAAATAATCTGGGTTACACGATGTAAGCGATCCTCGATCAGATTATTTGCCCGATATAGGTACTGTACATGTCATCAGTAAGTAGAGGTATATTGTCGCAATATAATTCCAAAATGTTTTTTTCGTTGATATGGCAAGATGGCAAAAGAATCGGCAATAAACACATTATTAATAGATGGCACACAGCAAGGGTACGTGCACAATGTATTGTAAAAAATATTGGTAGAAGCCCCCCATCTCAAAGCATATATTTAGGGAGGCTAATACATTCTATCAAAATCCATTCTAGTATCCACTTTGCTGGAAAGAAATTCTGGAACGAAATACATTACGCTCATTGCTTTAACCTCACCTTATACAGTTTATACCGGCAATCAAGATGGGCAGGCAACCAAGAGGAGATAGTTGGATTGCAAAATAACGCACCTTCTGGAATCAAATGGGACCGGGCATGGTAATACATAATTGCACCTCCAATATTCTTCTAACCTACCGATCGCCAAACCAAGCCTCGAAGTAACGTCCAGGACTCAAGGCGTAATAGATTAAGATAATTTTGGCTAGCACTATCCATAATTTTTGCCAGAACTTTTGGACACAATCAAGTTAGTTGGAGAACCAATAGAGTCCCCCTCTGCCACGGCGAGGCGCTATCATAGGATCCTTGAAACCACGTGTCCTAAAGATCACCAGAGTTATGTTATAGTGCCGACCAAAACCAACTGCGATTTAATATACGATTCTTTTGGTAATACAAAAAAGGAATGGAAAAGGGAAGGCATAGGGAGAAAACCTTGACAATTAGAAGCAGTCAGAAAGGCATTAATATCAGTCTAACTTCTTGGTAATAAAAGTAGGCAGATTCAGATAAAGGCATAAATAGCTCCTTGGAGTAAGCTAACGCACGAATAATAACTTTTTTGATGATAAAAAGAGTATAGAAGTCGAGTCAATATACGATTAACTTCTTGCAAATAAAAAAGTCACGTAAGAGAGTCAATGTGCAAATAACTCCTTGATAATAAAAAGATGTTGAATACAAAGAGGAAAATCGTCACCACTAAATCATTATATTGTTACCATTTATAATATAACTAATTGATTCAGAAAAAAAAAGTTAGGTTATGAAGGCACCTTACTGGATTATGAAGTTGTTACTATGAAGTTCATCACCTAATCTAAATCGCCGGTAATTCTTTTTACAAATATTTATTTAATAATTTTTTTTTTGTAAAAAAAAAAATTTTTTATCGTAATGAAAACAGCAAACGTGAAAAAAGCATTTCACGAATGATCATCTATACAGTATACAGTATATAACAGATTAATCATCTATTTGTAAAAATTAATTTTATGGATGACTTTTATTTACACAAAGGTCTTTATTCGAACCAGACCAGTTGCGAAGTGACAAATCATCTCCAATGTTTTTATCTAGAAAATATTTAATTTTTTATTTATATTATAAATTTATGTTGTATAATGGAGTTTTAATTATAAAACGAAATAACAATAAGTAGATCAATTGCAGTAGATAATTTCGAAATGTTGTTATACCAATTGATAATAGAAAAACAAGTGCGGATCATTAATAAAACAATCATTACACGCATATACAGTGTATAGAATATGTGCGTATATTACAATAGAGCAGAATTTCTCAACGGTGCGATCGGCAAATTGACCCTGCCCCCAACAGTCAACCCCAAAAATTGGACTGGAAATAAAAAATATAACACATTTATTATAATTTAATAATTTTTTTCCTGACAAAATGTACTGAAAATGAATGAATTTTATGTTGTGTAGAAATGCGAAAGAAATTGATTTTTAAAATTACTTAACAATATTAAAAATATATTAAGCTTATAGTTTTGGAAAGAGGAATCAGGGAAATATTTAAAGTGAAAAAAAAAGGAAGAAAAAAAAAAAAGAGGTTGGTATGATATCGTATAATACAGAAATGGACCCACACCAATGTGCACACGAGTGCACATGAACACATTTTACAACATCTAGAATAGATTCTAAGATATTTTTTTTTTTTTTTTTTTTTTTTTGGTTTTTTTTCTTTTGATGATTCCAAGCTCATTACTTTCGAATTATATATTATAAGTTTTTCATATAATTAAAATTTTTTTGAAGAATTATATAATTAAGTCAAAATCGAATTGGACGAAAGCGGAAAAATGGATTCGCGATTGCAATCGATATTCACGACAATCGTTCAATCTTTGTGAACTTTGCCACTAAGTGATGCAAATTCAACTTGCTGAGGAACTTCATTGATAACAGATGACCATCGATATAATGCCACTAGCAAAAAAGTAACCAAAAAAAAAAAAAAAAAAATCAAAGTCAGAAGACAAGTTAAAAGCAATAGACGAATGATTAAATCATCCTTGAAATCGAATCGGATGGTATTTACGTTTTTTACGTTCGGCTCTTAATCTTTCGAGCATGTCTTTGTCATATTTCCCCATGGTCATGCCTATAAGAAACGTGATTAGTCGGAGTAAATATATGCAAGCACACATACGTGTGAAAACTCACTTCGTGTCGCTTCTCTTCGATGGCCAGATGAATTGTTATCATTGGTCTTTTCCTTTTCTTTGCCCTTGTCAACAGTGGCCACGATGGGTCTGGGCTTGGGTGTGGCCAAATCAGTAATTGGCCTTGGAGGTTCTCTCTTGTTGGCTAAATGGTAGGGAGAGATGATCAATTTCGAAATCTGGAATTACCATCCGGGATACATTCCTTAATGAAAGAATACATTACATTGTTTTCGGACCATTGTGTATATTTCTCCGGATGAAGAATCAAAAAGTGTATAATAATCGGAATTCTTTGGTTCCGGGAGGTTTGGATAGTGCAATAGTCGACTAGTGTAGAAAGCTTGCGGGTGTTGAGCATTGGTAGGACTTGATCTAACTACAGGGCTGGTTTTTACCTTCTTGTTGGTTTTCGGACCTTGGAAGGGAGCATTACCGTCCGACAGGTAACGCCATTTATACGAAACGTTTAATAATTCTGAAGCAGATGGTCTCTTATGCGGATCAGCATCCCAGCACCGAAGCATGGCGGCGACATAACCTTTCGGAGTACCGGAGATAATTGGTGGCCTCAGGCCCTCACAAATATCACGGGCTAAAAGGTAGTTATGAGCCCGGTCGGCGAATGGTGGTTCATTGGATGACATCTCCCACATTATCATGCCTAGACTGTATATATCGGCGGCTTGCGTATAAGGCTCACCTCTTAAAACCTCCGGAGCTACATAGGGCAGAACACCATAGACTTTCTTTGCGTCGACCGACTCGTTCGCCGGACGACACATCCCCAAGTCGGTCACGTAAACTAATTTTTCATGCCTTAGGATGTTTCCACTGCCCATTAGAATTGTTCGAGGAAAAAAAAAAAAGATCAGCAAACATTGAGATGGGAACAATGAAAGAACCATTAGAAGCACATAGTTTTGATATACCTATGAAAATCGCGATGCACCAAACCGGCGTCATGGATTCCTTGAAGACCTTTGGCAATACGATCAAATAGCTCGATTTTCGTGTCCCAAGATAATTCCGAGAAATATTGAGTCAGGTAACGACGAAGATTTCCTTGCTCCGCATATCTCATTACCATAACATATCTATTGGTTTCCGGATCTTTGCTAACACCATAGCAGTCGATTATACCTGATCCAAGACTACATCGGTGATGAGCTCGAAGCTACGAATGGTCAAAGAATGCATAGACCAATTTACATTAACCTCCGCACGAAATCTAATAGACATATCACGCTACTTACCTCATCAAGAAAATCCTGGGTGAGTTCTTCGGAATTGTCGAGAAATTTTAAGGCTACTTTTCCCCAATTTTCGGATTTTGCCGAGTAAACAGAACCGAAACCACCTCTTGCAACAAACTCCAGTTGCTCAAAATTTTCAAAAGGGATCCATCGGATGAAATCAAAGGGTGTGTTTGCATTTATCTGAGTGTCTCTTATGAAGTTGTCAAGATCCTCGTTGCCACTTGTCCAGTTACCGAATTGTGCTTTCAACTTGGCAGTGTCACAAGCCTTGCACCAGCCAACAGAAGTTTGTGACTCACCGCACCTTGAACACTGACTTTCCTCCATGATACTTGAATGTGAACGTGATTTCGAGAAAGCGTTAGATGGCACGGCAATACCAGCCTCCCGTGCTAATCATAGACGAATGTGAGTAACTTGTCCAACGGATGGTCGAATCGAATAACGAGTGTAAAGGAGACAAACGTACCCAGAGACTTTAATATGGAAGCATAGTCCATTTTTCTTTCTCTTGATTTGTTTTGCTGTTTTTTTTTTTCTTTTCTCTCTTTTCAAAAGTAGGTCGCGGCGCAGTCAATAGAATAATATTAATATATTACTGTATTTCTAAATATTAGTGTGCGTGTTGTATATATATTTATATAGAAATGTATGTACTTGTAAACTCAAAAAAATCAAGGGGTACTAAATAGAGAGTTAGTTTATATAGGAAAAGCAAAATGCTAAACAGGTGAGATGGAGAAGCGGAACCTCAGAGAGAGGGAGAAAAGGACAAGAAATCAAGAAAGAAAAAACGAAAATTGATATTGATTGACGAATTAAAAGATGGCAGTGTAAAAGCGGTAGCACAAACTCCTTGAAGCAACCCTTCTTATGTTTGTCTGTTTGTGGCAAAATTGCTTTTTGTTTGATTTACTCGTGTCTCGTTACCATTTAGACTTGAATAGGTATGATCTCTTTCGGTTCTGTCGCAATTCATATGAAGGGCTTGTGACACTACCAACTTGCGAGTTTGACAGTACAAATAAACTAACGTCCAATATATGCGTGATATTCTATCTTGATTTTCGTTTGGGCTATATAGGTAAAGTTCCCTTGTCGCATGAATACAACATAAAGTAAAAATTACATATTCCGTACTCACGTACTCGTACATCATGTACAGTACGCTATATACGGTGACATTGATATACGCAAACTGATGATGATGGTAATTGAAAGAAGGGCTTTGCCGAATAGATCGTTGGAATGAAAACCAGTTTGATCTTATCAGCTTACACACACATATTATTATTATTATTATAAGTGTGCGGACGTTTCATCCGCTATAGTGGTGATAAAAAAGTAATGTATTTACGTAACGTACTGTATGTAGACTGTGGTCGTTATGAATAAATTAAATGTTTTATTTTATTTTTTTTTTTTCATGAGCAAGGCAATGTGAATGTGCGTATGTACATAATGTATGTAAGTTAAGAGAGGAAGTAAATAAATAAATAGTACCGGTACGCCAACATAACATTACCCATCTCCATAAAAGTCGAATCACTAAAACACACTCTCGACGCCCAGTCCTTACCCAGAATATCTTAATAAAGGAGGCGCATTTCTGTCGTATAGTATGGTGCCGCTTCTTCTATCACTATGATATCAAAAAAAAAAAAAATATTATAAATTTACCACTTTTCACACAACGTCGTACGAGGTGCGACAATTGTAACACGATTGCTTCTTGAACGTTTCTTGTTATCATTCTTTTTCGATCCTTTCAACGGTCGTCTTTCCGTGAAAATTTACTGCGGAGGTGAAAAGTAAGAAGACCGACGAACAATGTCGATTACTTCCTTCCATCACGTTCTTTTGTCCTTCGTTTATGGTTTAGCTGCTCTGGCAAAAAAAAACATTGAATTTGAGCACGACATCAAATTTCAATGACAAATCATTATTTTATCTGCAACTCGAACATTTGCATTCGTCTCGCAGTTGTTTGCAGTCGTTTCGCACGGCCCACTCGATAATCCGCACTCGTGGAACTTAACAAGAAAGAAACGCTTGATAGTTCCCATAACGATAATAGCAATTTTGGATGAAAATCGATTTTCGATTTGAAAATCGTTTCCGACGGAACTTGGTAATTACGAAGTGTATGGGCGACGTGTGTGACAATGTTGTTTGTTAAAATAATAAAACGGGTGACCGGTATTGCTGGTCTTGGAAATTTCTTGTAATAAATCTGCGACTCTCCAATTTTGGATTCCACGTTGATTACAATTGAAAAAAAAAAAAAAAAAAAATGGCGTTCATAAATACGTCATGAATGATCAGAAATTCCCGGGCCTCATTGTTAGAAATTCTTTGCCTTGAATTATAAAATAACAAACCAGGAGCAGCTTCCGTGGAACAACAATGTAGAATGAAGGCAACATCGGTCAACCCATTCTGCACGCATACCTTTAAGGGAGAAAAAACTCCCGTGATTGTTTCCTTCAATTACCATCCATTAAAAGTGGAGCGCGACTCGTTTCCAGGATCGTTTTTAAGGTTTTGAGTAACGCCATCAATTACGAACACATGCGAAGAGGAATAAAGGAATAAATATACGGCTGTAAGTAAACGGGTACACCGACACTCTGATTACATAACTATCGGAGATCGATCGAATGTTATATACGTTAGGAATTTGGTATTCTATTCTATGTGCGTACGTGCGTACGTGAACATACATACAGCGTCGAAATGCTCTTTTCACACCGCGCACCAGTCCAGATTAATTAGACCCAGGTTATGATAAGCCAATTCTGGAGTTACACCTGCTGCGTACATGGAAGCAAAATTCCAATAATTCTATTTTTGTATTAGCGTAGATTGTGTAATGGCGCCGCTTCTCAAAAAGCTCCGACCTTTAAGGCTCTGGAGGCGAAAGGGTATCATCTCACAGTAGTCGCGCGATAATGAAGAAGAATCCGGAAAGCGTCTTGAATTTGGAAGCTGTCGCCTCTTGAGATGCTTGCATATTCAACCAATGTCACTTCACCATCAGATAAAAAAAAAAAAATTTTTTTTCGCGAATCATCTGATTCCTCTGAATTCGCCAAAACGAGTTCCTCACCGTTTTGTTATGTACACCCTCTAGACAAAGAATAAGAAGGGTAAATAATGTATCAATGCTGCATGTTTGTCAACAAAAGAAAACCATATTTGGAATAAAGAAAAAAAAAGGTTAAATAAAGCGATCCTGTCCGGTCAGCTAATAAATAAATAAAAATAAAAAATTTCAGTTCCGCATCGGGGAATCGAACCCCGGCCGTCGCGGTGAAAGCGCGAAATCCTAGCCACTAGACCAATGCGGATATTAATTGTTAACGTGAGAAAATTTTTATAGAATATAAAAGTATTTTTTTAATAAAAATAATTCTAAAAAAATTTTTATTTTTTAAAATATATTAATTTGATAATTTATTATGATTTAATAAATAAAAATTATTAGCATTATTTTATTAGAAAATAAAATATTATTTTTTAAATCTAATTTAAGATATTTAATTAAAACTTTATATTTAATTTAAACTAGTTTAATAAAATTTTTATATTTTTAATATAATATAACTCTTTAATCAATAATATATAATAATAAGTTATATTATTATTATTATTATTATTATTATTTGATCCATAATTATATTATTATAATAAATTTTTATTAAAATATTAAAAAAATATTTATATTATTACATAAACTATTTATATTATAACAAATTTTTTATTATATATTATTAATTAAATTACTATACTATTTAAAATAAATAAGTTTTAATAAACTAGTTTAAACTAAATAAAATAAATACTTTAAATCAAATTTAAAAAACAATATTTTATTTTCTTAATAAATTACTATTCAATTTTTATTTAATAAAATTATTATTAATAACTAATTATTGTAAATTAATTTAAAAAATAATAAATTCTTAAATTAAAAAAAAATTCACCAATTCAAGATTTTTTAAAAAAATTCTAAATTAATTTAATAATCTTTTTCAAAAAAATCTATCTAATTGAAATATTTATTAGTTTTAATTTATTTAAAAAATAGAATTATTTTTAAATATTTAAAAAACTTATTTTTTAATTAATATATAAATTTATTTATTATATTTATTATATTAATATTATATTATAAAAATATTTATAATAGTAATAAAAAAAAATTCTTTTTACTGATCCCTTGATAACATACAAAAAAGATATTCACAAAAAAGTTTTATAATTTTCTACTAATAAAGTCTTTTTACTTTCTTTAAAATAATTTGAAGGATAACTTCAAGAGTCTCTTCCAATTTCCTTCTCTTGTTTATATTCCTTTTCAAATAAAAACTTGATTTCCGATAATTAAGAAAAGTCAAAAAAATATTCTTTTTTTCTATGATAAGAAAGTTTTAAAAGAAAGAAAAATCAATAGTGAAGTACTAAGTCTATATCCTAAAGCAAAAGTATAACTAGAGATTTTGTACAATAGATAGATAAATAAATAAAAACCTAAACTATAAAACTTTCCATTTCATTATTATTATTTTCTTAAAGTTACTATTTTTCAAAGTTTTTGTGAAATTTTGTCTATTCTAGTTTGATCCTAAATTTTGGAGTGACACAAAATTGACATAACTTTTACTAAAAGTGATTGATTGATATAAAACATATTAATAGTAGAATCTAAATAAACTCCTATTAGTTATATCACATATTCCAATGATGTTATTGGTAAAATAATGAGAAATTACTGGTACAGACTTTTTTACTTCTCTAAATGAAGTATAACTAAATCAAAGAAATTATGAGATCATTAGGATGGACACTAAATTCCCTAAGTAATGAAAATATAGTTATTTGTTCAAACTGAGACTTTTAACTTCTTATTATTTCCATTAAGCAAAGTACATAAAAGAGATTATTTCCTTATTCCAGTCAAGCTGTAAAACTAAAAAGTAAAAAAATATAAAATATTGCCTTTTTTTAGGATCAAAAATACATTTACTCAGACATTATATAATGATATCACAATCAAGATGAACATTAGTAAAATTCCTTTAACTAGGTATTGATGCTAGAAGATATTGGAGATTATATAATAAGACTGAAAAGCTATATAAAAATCTAGGATTTATTATTAATTATTCTGTTCTATATAGTTGGATATAAAATCAAGATCAAAAGAAAGGAAATATTGAGCAAGATACTAGATTTGAGTAGGTGATAAGTATCTCAAACTGTCATAAGAAAATAATCAAGATTACAGATAAATAAGTTCTTCAGATAGTTAGAGAGAAAAAGGATATTCCAGAAGAGTTGACTCTTAATGAAAAAATATTCTAGCAAAGGTTTTTTGAAAAACATGGTATATTTTTACTTTTTTTTTTTTTCTTTTCTTTTTCATATAGCACGATTGTACATTTTTAGATATAACCTTTTCTTTTATTTTTTCTTTTTCTTTTTATAATTTCATGAA